TAGATATCGTTTGATGATTGGTGAGTTTGGCTATAACTATAGTAATTAAAAAGAGGAGAAAAATCGACGGTTTTCTGCAACCTAATAAAGAGCTCTTGATAAATGTAGAAATTATTTATTGATTTATTAGTTTGGCTATAACAAAACAAAAGAGCAAAAATTGACGGTTTTCTACATTCTGATGAAAGAGATCTTAATAAACATAGAAATTATTTGCTGATTGATGAGTTTGGGATATAAAAATGATAACGAAAAAAAGGAGCAAAATTGACGATTTTCTACAGACTCATGAAAAAACTCTTGATAAACGTAAAAATCATTAGATGATGATGAGTTTGGCTATAACCATAATAACAAAAAAAGAAGAATAAAATTGACCTTTTTCTCCAGGCTCATGAAAAATCACATGATAAACGTAGAAATTTTTTGCTGATGATGAGTTACGCTATAACCATGATAACAAACAAAAAAAGAGGAAATTGACGGTTTTCTGCCGTCTGAAGAACGAGCTCTCGATAGACGTTGTAATCATTTGCTGATTGATAATTTTGGATATATAACCATTATAACGGAAAAATGAGCAAAACTGAAAGTTTTATACAGCCTGATAAACGAGCTGTTGATTAACATAGAAATCATTTGCTGATTGATGAGTTTGGCTATCACCACGATAACAAAAAAAAGTTGAGTAAAATTGACGGTTTTCTACTGTTTAATGAAAAAGCTCTTGATAAACATAAAAATTATTTGCTGATTGTTGACTTATAACAATGATAACGGAAAAAAGCAAAATAGACAGTTTTTCTGCAGCCTAATGAAAGAGCTCTTGATAAATGTAAAAATTATTTGCTGATTGATGAGTTTGGATATTACAATAATAACCAAAAAATGAGCAAAATTGTTGGTTTTTGTAGCCTGATGAAGGTGTTTCTTGATAAACGTAGAAATCGTTTGTTGATTGATGAGTTTGGCTATAACCATGATAATTAAAAAAAGAGGAGCAAAATCGACGGTTTTCTGCAACCTAATAGAGAGCTCTTGGTAAATGTAGAAATTATTTACTGATTTATTAGTTTGGATATAACAAAACAAAAGAGCAAAAATTGACGGTTTTGTGCATTCTAATGAAAGAGAACTTAATAAACATAGAAATCATTTGCTGATTGATGAGTTTGGGATATAACAATGACAACGAAAAAAAAGGAGCAAAATTGACGATTTTCTACAGACTCATGAAAAACTCTTGATAAACGTGAAAATCGTTAGATGATGATGAGTTTGGCTATAACCATGATAACAAAAAAAGAAGAACAAAATTAACGTTTTTCTCCAGGCTCATGAAAAATCACATGATAAACCTAGAAATTATTTGCTGATGATGAGTTAGGCTATAACCATGATAACAAAAAAAAAAGAAATTGACGGTTTTCTGCCGTCTAAAGAACGAGCTCTTGATAAACGTAGAAATCATTTGGTGATTGATGATTTTGGGTATATAACCATTATAACGAAAAAATGAGCAAAACTGAAAGTTTTCTACAGCCTGATAGAAGATCTGTTGATTAACATAGAAATCATTTGCTGATTGATGAGTTTGGCTATCGCCACGATAACAAAAAAAGTTGAGTAAAATTGACGGTTTTCTACTGTTTAATGAAAAAGCTCTTGATAAACATAAAAATTATTTGCTGATTGTTGAGTTATGATAACGAAAAAAAAAGAAAAATAGACAGTTCTTCTGCAGCCTAATGAAAGAGCTCTTGATAAATGTAGAAATCATTTGCTGATTAATTTGTTTGGATATAACAATAATAACAAAAAAATGAGAAAAATTGACGGTTTTTGTAGCCTGATGAAGGTGTTTCCTGATAAACGTAGAAATCGTTTGTTGATTGATGAGTTTGGCTATAATCATGATAATTAAAAAAAGAGGAGCAAAATCGACGGTTTTCTGCAACCTAATAAAGAGCTCTTGGTAAATGTAGAAATTATTTATTGATTTATTAGTTTGGATATAACAAAACAGAAGAGCAAAAATTGACGGTTTTCTGCATTCTGATGAAAGAGAACTTGATAAACATAGAAATCATTTGATTGATGAGTTTGGGAAATAACAATGATAACGAAAAAAAAAGGAGCAAAATTGACGATTTTCTACAGATTCATGAAAAAACTCTTGATAAACGTAAAAATCATTAGATGATGATGACTTTAGCTATAACCATGATAACAAAAAAGAAGAACAAAATTGACGTTTTCTTCAGACTCATGAAAAATCACATGATAAACCTAGAAATTATTTGCTGATGATGAGTTAGGCTATAACCATGATAACAAAAAAAAGAGGAAATTGACGGTTTTTTGCCGTATGAAGAACGAGCTCTCGATAAACGTAGAAATCATTTGCTTATTGATGATTTTGGGTATATAACCATTTTATCGAAAAAATGAGCAAAACTGGAAGTTTTCTACAGCCTGATAAAAGAGCTTTTGATTAACATAGAAATCATTTGCTGATTGATGAGTTTGGCTATCGCCACAATAACAAAAAAAGTTGAGTAAAATTGACGGTTTTATACAGTTTAATGAAAAAGCTCTTGATAGACATAAAAATTATTTGCTGATTGTTGAGTTATAACAATGATAACGACAAAAAAGAAAAATAGACAATTCTTCTGCAGTCTAATGAAAGAGCTCTTGATAAATGTAGAAATCATTTGCTGATTAATTTGTTTGGATATAACAATAATAACAAAAAAAAAGAGCAAAATTGGCGGTTTTTGTAGCCTGATGAAGGTGTTTCCTGATAAACGTAGAAATCGTTTTTTGATTGATGATTTTGGCTATAACCATGATAATAAAAATAAAGAGGAGCAAAATCGACGGTATTCTGCAACCTAATAAAGAGCTCTTGATAAATGTAAAAATTATTTACTGATTTATTAGTTTGGCTATAACAAAACAAGAGAGCAAAAATTGACGGTTTTCTACATTCTAATGAAAGAGATCTTGATAAACATATAAATCATTTGCTGATTGATGAGTTTGGGATATAAAAATGATAACGAAAAAAAAGGAGCAAAATTGACGATTTTCTATAGACTCATGAAAAAACTCTTGATAAACGTAAAAATCATTAGATGATGATTAGTTTGGCTATAACCATGATAACAAATTTTTCTGCAGTCTTATGAAAGACCTCTTCATAAACGTATAAATTATTTGCTAATTGATGAGTTTTGCTATAACCATTATAATAGAAAGAAAAAAAAAGCAAAATTGACGGTTTTCTGCAACATGACGAAACAGTTCTTGATACACATAGAAATCATTTGTTGATTGATGAGTTTAACTCTAACCATGATAACAAAAAAAGGAGCAAAATTGACGGTTTTTTGCAAAGTGATGAAAGAGCTCTTGATAAACGTAAAAATTATTACTTGATTGATGAGTTTGGCTATAACAATAATGACAAAAAGAAAGAGAAAAATTATTATGTAGATCTTATGAATAAAGTGGAGATGTACCAACATTACAAGATGTACGAGGGTTATGTTGAATCCGGATCTCAGTATTACCGACGAGATACTTTGTTGGTAATTACTATTTATTTTTTTGTCGTCAACAATCAAAACTCTAAAATTTTCGACTGTTGATTCTGATGTTATAAAACGGGTGTCAGGAATCCTGAAAACGATAAAATACCTATCGTAACACGCAAAGATAATGTCATGGAGTGATGACGTTCGTTGTTTTCTTATTGTCTTGGCTTTTTTTTTTTTTCTAATGACTAACATCTTATTTTCTTACCATTTATAACATCCACTTATCTCTCATGATTTTACCTTTTATACACAATAATCTCCGCGCAAGTGCGCGGACAGCCACCTAGTTCTCTAAAAATATCAAGTAAAACTTATTTTAAGTGTTGCAAATTAAAATATTTAAATTTTTATTGTAGTATATAAAATTGTACATTTCAAAAAAATAAATGTATCAAATCGAATATAAATATTCAAATTCTGACCCGTTGCTTAGTCGAAATTTTTGTTGACTTTATTTTTGTATAAAAGAAATATATTTCTCAAGTCTGAATTTTTGACCCGTTTAACTGTTTCCTTTATAGATTGAACAATTTATATGCGTTTTTAAAGATTCAAATCTTGGCATATGCAGAAAAAAAATTACTTTTTTTTTTATTATGTAGATGATATGATGATTTATTTGTTTCATATTAATATAATTATATTAAGATGAGAGGTGAAGTTTAATGATTAATAACAAATTAATATGGTAAATTAGATATCAAATCTTATATGTTCATTTTGATTGGTCATTTAAAAAATAATAATAATAACAGATTTTCGTTTTATAATTTAATGAAATTAATTAAATGACTTAAATTAGTATTTTACTTGTTTATCCTTAATAAATTGAATGAAATTTGTTCTAAAAGAAGATTTTTGTAATGGCATTCTTAAGTAAATTCTTACAAAAGGGAAGGTTAGTTAAGGGTATCTTATAAAGTGTACTCCCCAAATAATAGTATAGGATGGATTGGTTAGTGAGAGATTATCACGACATGATGAAGTAATCTTCTTTTTTTTTTTGATAAAGAATGATGAAGTAATTTTTACTTGTTTTTTTTTTGTTAATATTTCAATTTTATGGATTTTATTTAATTTTTTCATTTTCAGAGAGAGAGACACAATTAAATTTCTTTTAAAATTAAACATTTTTATTTCTTCTTACGTACTATGCGTGTGGAATTAAATAATTTGATTAACGAAACTTGGCCAATCCATATCCGTTTTTAAGGTAAAATGGAATCTATTTTTACGTGTCTGGCTAATCTTAAGAAGAAGAAAGTCATTACCAAATTGAAGATTGAAAAAAGGCAATGCATTATAGATGGGCCTATTGAATTGTCAGGCCCATTTAGTAATGTTGCGAGACTAAATGTGGGCCTTTCATTACGTTTCTGGAAACACTTCTCTGAGAATGTTAAAGCTTCTTTATCCAATGGGACTAAACATCTCAAACAATAGATCCAATGCTATGTAACATAAGATAAAAGGATAGATCCAAACATACTATATTAACATTCTTCAACCTCTCATAGATTTCCAAATAATAGAGAAAATCTTTCAGAAACTCTTATGTTCATCTCTTCCTTTACAAACACTTTGAACACCCAAAACACAAAACTAATCAAGAACACAAACACACTCGTCAAGATCAGAGCAAAAACAAAACAATATCAAATGTTGTAATCAGTCGATTGATTTACAGAGTTGAGGGTTTGGTTTTTAGTTAGTTAGCATGCATCATTCAACACTCTTTTCTTTCCTTTCTTCTTTCACCATTCTCATCACGAGTCGAGCGCCAGCTCGGCCCAAGCCAAAGAAGATGATCTTAGCTCTGCAGAAATTGACAGACTGATTCTACTCTCCAATGTCTCGCATAGCTCTTGCACTGAGGGCTTGTTGCTATTGTTGTTGTTGTTGGTCGGGTCCCTGTTCAAGCATTGGCTTGCCACTTCGCATACCGTCTCAAGCTCTTCTTGGTTAAAATGTTTCAGCTCTGGATCCACCAATCCCGCCATTGTCTCTGGTGCTTCAAGGAACTCCTTTGCCTGCAAAATGCCACAAACAGATATAAAATTCAAAACTTTTGCCACAAAAACCCACATTTGAGGTTCGATATAACTAAACAGGTGAACAAGGTAGAGACTTTCACATCCAGACGAAAACTCGGTCTCTCCCTGAGCAGACCACTATACCTACTTGGCTAACAGTAACAAAGTTTGATATAAATGATGAAAAAGAGAAGGCTGTGTCGACTTCCCGGGGTGAAAACAGAGAAGGAATTAACAGAGTTTCAAATGTTTAGAGAAACTGAGTTTTTTGCCTTACCCATTCAATTAAGAAACCTTTGTCTTTGCAATAGGGAGGTCTTCCACTGACAATTTCCAGTAAAAGAATGCCGAATGCATAGATATTACCCGACACATCAAGATATCGGCTCTCCATTCCATTTGGGAGTACACATATCGAACCCTGGCTACTAATATTCCTCAAATTCTTTTCTGATCTCGCAAGAATCGTCTTCCAGCATTCGAAATCAACCAACTGGATCAGAGAAAGTCAGAAAAAGAAAGAATGTGAACATAGTTAAGCTTAGCTTTGCTAATTGTATTGCTCAGAGAATAAGCAGGTCTCACTTTACTTTACCTTGGGAGTGAAATCTTCTGTGAGATAGATTGCGTTTGAGCTCAGCTCAGAGATTGTAAACGGAGGATCAAGTTCCATATGAAGGTACTTGAGACCACGTGCGATGCCTATAACAATCTTCATCCGTCTTGCCCACGATACTAAAGCCGCTTCCCCATCTGCATCAAAATATTTATCATAATCATGTTATCTAATCAAAACAATACAGTATGATGCAACAAAGCTCTGAGGTAAGTTAGACTATTTACAGTGGAGGTGCTCGTATAGTGTTCCATTTGATGCATACTCAAAAACAAGCATTCTTGTAAATGGTGAGATCTCTTTACAATATCCAAGTAATTTCGCTGTGTTCTCGTGGTTTAATCTAGCCAAATCTGCAGCCTGAAACAGTGGGGAATTGGAGTCGAAATCTTAGAAAAAAGGAGGATATGTTTTAAGATTGTTCTATCCAAGTGACTAGGTGATGATGATAACATGAGAAGAAGCTACCTCTCTCTGGAAATAGAGCTCAAGATATCCAGTCCAATCTTCTTCCTTTACACAAAGAGAGATCACCGCAATCTCAGACCCACCTTTCAGCGTTCCTTTATAGATCTGACTATCTGCAGATAAACCAATGATATTGCTAAAGTCTTCACACGCCACTTCGAGCTCTTGTCTTGTTAATCTCGAAACATCTTTCAGCATTTCAGAATCTGTAGTTAAAATAAAACATGCCACTTTTGTTTTAGTTCTTTGGTCCATGGATTTTTGTATTGGAAGGTACAGAATTTTGGAAAGGTTCTAACCTACGTAGACTGTGAACTTTTCCTTTTCACTTGAAGATTTTTTCCAAGGAATGATGAGAGATGATCTGTTGTTCCAGCGGTGAACTGCTGAGAAAAGTGCCACCAGGAGGAGCAAACCAACCATTGACCCTGTGACTATCTCAAGAGCTAGAAGCCATTTAGGTTTTGATGCTCTATGGTGCTTAGCCACCATTTGAGCTGACTGGTGCTTAGGGGCGGCGCTCGGGCTTCCATGAGTTTTGACCAGTTGTGCATTACCTGCGACAGGGATAACATTCAGAAAACCAAGACTAATCAAACATGTGTGTCGCTAAAGTGAAGATTTTCTATCTTACACACCGCATTGGGAAGAAGGTCTATGCTTAAGATCCTTGTTTTGCATGCAGTTCCCTTGAAAGCTCGTCCTAGTGACCATAAGAGAGAAACTCTAAGGCGAAATCAGAGACTTAGAGAGTTCAGAAAGACAGTATAGATGATAAGAATACCTTGGAAGGTACTCTAAACATTTTGGAATGTTTCCCACAAAAAAGTTGTATGAAAAATCGGCTACTTTTAGAGACTTGCACAAACCGGCGATGTTTGCACTTGAATTTGAAGAATACCTAAATAAATTGAAAAAACAAAACCCGATTAACATTGCCATCATAGACAGAAGTCACATAGTGTTTCATTTTTGGCTTCTTGAGCTATTAAACTTACACTTTCGACTGATAGCCCGATGCTCCAGCAACAAGAAGACTTCCTTGAAGCCTATTCCTGTCAATATGAAGTTCTCTAAGGTACTTCAAGTTACCGAGCTCTGCAGGCAACTTTCCAGTCAAACCATTGGACTGAAGGTTTCTGTAAAATGTCAAAAAAAAACTGTCATCTCAACAACTCATCTGTTAATAAGGTATGAAAGCATCATTTTGACTGTTGAAATCTATATTACATTATCATGATGCCGGACAAACTCCCGATCTCTGCTGGGATCGGTCCCATCAGTTGATTGTTTCCCAAGTCCAAGATCTTGAGATTCTTTAGGTTTCCTATCTCCTTAGGTATTGTCCCGATTAGAATGTTCCCATGTAGGATTCTACAGAAGCATTTTAAAGATGTTAACTCCCAAACTCAATGCACCAAACTACATATTTGTGAGTATGTGAGAAAGAAATGAAACCGTACAATTCCTGAAGGTAGGTTATTTGACCCAATTCCGGCGCAAGAAACCCTTTTATCGATGATGCCGATATATTTCTGCACGAAAACAAGATCCACAGACTATATAAGCTCAAGCAAACTTCTTCCTAAACCACATAAACAACTGATTTTGCAGATACTATACAACAATAAGTAAATGCAAGAAAGAAAGAAAGAAAAAAAGATGAAAGATTCTTACATCTTGATAACATGATCTTTAGATGGAGAGCAATTAATGCCGGTCCAATCACAAGGATCTGAATTGGGGTCATTCCAATTAGACATAACTAGCAAAGGGTCCTCATAGATAGCTTCCTTGAATCTCCTAAGTGCTCCAACTAAAAACAGAGCAAAAGATCCACAAATCTATTAGATGATTTTTATGAATCAAACCTTGAATTAAAGCTTCAACTTCGCAGATTCTTCTGATCTTATCCATTAAAAAGTATTAACTTTTTCATATTGATTAAGATTCTACACTAATCCCAACTCTGCTCAAGTCAAGTGAGGAAATTGTTCACAGAGATTCTTAAAGGTATGAGCTTTAATCTAGCATTTTCTTAGTAAACCTAACACAAGCGAGAAAACAATTGAAATCTGAGATCTGGGTTTAAGAAGATCAAGAAACACACAAAATAGTTACCTTCATTAGAGGCAAACCCATCACAAGAAACGAAGAAGAGCACAAGAACAAGAGCTAACGACCAAAACTTCGATCTCATCGTCTTTTGAAAGATTCCTTCAAATTCGGCTCATTAAAAAAAGAAGCAGAGCCCAGATTCTTTCACGGAGGATCAACTATTTTCCAGATGAATATAATCTGGAGAAAGACGAGAACTTTCTTTGACAAGTACTCTGCAGAAATGAGATGTTTTAAGCTCAAGAAGAGACCAAGATTAGCAAAGTAAAGAGCGAGAGAGAGAGAGAAGCTGAAGAATGGAAGAAGGAAATGGTAAAGAGAAGTGAAAGTGGACAAGATTATATGATTGATTTAGCAATAACCTATCAATGGAAACTCACTGAGACGAGAAAAAAGTAGCAGAGATGATGAAGTGTGGAGAGAGAGAGAGAGAGAGAGAGAGAGAGAGAGAGAGACTTGGATTCAAAGACAGGTTTTTGTTTTTTTTTTTTTTTTTCCTTGTTGGAGGGGAAAAATGAGATTTAAATTTTTTTAATATAATAAAAGAGAAATTTGTAAATTAGAAGAAAATAAGAAAAAAGGTAATGGATATTTCTATGAAATATATAATTTTAAGAAATTCACAGAAAGGAAGAATGTTCTCTTCCTCTTTTTCTTTTTATTTCTTTTACTTTTTGGTAACTTTATGTGACTCTGAGTTATTTTTAAATATTCTTAATTATGGATGTTTTTTTAACATGAATGTTTGTTTAATTTTTAGATCGATTTTTCTGTTTGATCACATTCTAACCAAGCATTTACCTGTATTTGTATTACTAAATTATATGTAGGATTTTTTTTTATCTATTATATTTGTGGCAAACTAGCAATAGATCAAATCTAATTAACACCAAACTAATAATAAGGAAATATCCAAATCTTTCTATATCAGGAATTGATTGTTCTAGTGGCATATGTACAACTGTATTTTCTTATAATAACTAAATTAGTAAATTATTTGTTTTCGGGTATTAAAAGCTTTATTACAAAAAGAAAATGAAAATTGGGGCAGATTATTATTCGAACGTAAAATGGAGGAGGTGTGTATTAGAATAATGGTTGAAATGAATAAATTTCGTTGGAAGATTCTTAATTACAGAGTATATAATATAGTTGCTAATCATTGACATAATAGCGCGTTTAATTATAAAGAGAATTTTTTTCATGGTACGGTGTCTACTACGGTGATCTAGAGCTTTGCTAAGCTGTTGCTGGGACATACCGTACTACCGTAGACCACGGCTCTGATCCATAAATTGTATTTTAATCGGACGATCAAGATACTTAACATGCAATACTAGATTTATTATTAGTTTTGGTTCTTAAGCCAATTTTTTGCTCTTAAGCCAATTTTTTGCTCTTAACTAAGAACCATTCCTTAGCAAAATCAACATTTCAACCTTTAATTTTAATCACTCATGAGCTAAGAACTAAGCTAAGGACCTCCCAATAAGGATGGTCTAAGGCCTCCCCAATGATGTTGCTCTAATTTCACTGTAATAATATACTATTAAAGCTAATTTTTTTTTTTTGTAAATAAGCCGTATTTGTAAATTGTAGTAATAAGCTAGTTAAATATGCTACATGATTTTTAGTGTGAGAGACAAAATGGCCCATCGAAATTTACGCTAGTTAAACCACTCATGCGAACTTATGCTTGGAGCGCGTGACAAATAATAACAAAAACTCAATTTTACATATTTATATATTAAATTAAAATTTAGACATGTTCATATATATTAAATTATATATATGAAATCATATATATAACTCAATTTTACATATTCATATGTATTAAATTAAAATTTAGACAATTTTTGGAATATCTCAATCGTAAACTTGCAATGGAAAAATAGTTCAACTCCTTACCCTACTTAGTACGGGGTTGTTGCTACTTGCTAGACTTGGAAGAGATAATAAGACTGAGTCGTTAAAAGACTGAAAGTAAAAGAAGGTTTGAAGAGACTATGGAAAAAAATAGGTTGGATCTCACCAAATGAAGACCATAAATTCAAAATAGATTTCCAGTTTAATACTAGTTAATTAAGTAGTTTTCACCTTTTTTAATTGTAACTATCTCTTACTTTCTGTATCTTTTCACCATATAGTATACATAGATGATGAAAATGGTATACCACTTGTTTATTAGAGGATACATACAAAGCCCAAAGATTAGTCTCATGAGAATTATCTTTTCAAAATGTGACAACATAAACAATATTAAGTTCTCTTCTTTTTTTTTGACGAAATGGAGCTGCCCATGCTTTAGCTAAATTTGGTTGTAATGATCACTCATGCTTTTATTCTGACTAGGACGAAACCCGCGCTACGCTGCGGGCATCATTTGGATAACTTTTTAGTAGAAATATAATTTGTAATAACTAAAATCAAACACATGTGGTACCTAGCATTTTTGAAGAATTTGTTTGGCATCAAGTGTCTTTCTAAGGCAACACAATGCATGAGGTGGATGCTTTTTACTCAAATTCCATATAGCCCTGACAAGATCTCTAGCACATTTATTTGTCTAAAACAAAGTATGTTAAGCGTAATGTACTAAAATCATTGAATATAAAATGAAACTACAAACTAATTTGAATTTTTTAATTTAATATAAATATGATTCCCTAATAATATAATTTTTTTAGAATTTGATGTTTTATCTTTACTTAGATTTTAGTAGTTTTTATTACTCGGGATTATTTTTTTTATTTATGTGGTTAGATTTGGTAATTATAATAATAGTGTCTCTTTGCCAACATTAATGTTGAATAGTATCTAATAAGAAAAGTGACTTGAAAAAATAAAATTATAGCTCTATTTTCAATTGGTAATTTTTTTTGATAGGCTATTTTAAACTCGTAATTGATGCCCATATTTAATAGATTTTCATGGTTGATCAGATTATCGGTTTTATTGGGTCGATCAAAACCAATCTAGATATCTTAGTCACATTCCACATTATGACTACTTACATATATATTAGTTGTTTGTCCAAAAAAACATATATATTAGTAGTTTACCGCTAAATGACTACTACCGAATTAAACATTACATTATGCAAACATCAACTACATAAAATTTCGGTTACTATGATCACTTTTCTATCAAAATAGAAGTAACACATGCCAATTACTGGTTTTATTGGTTTGTGACTGAATTTACAAGCACACACCAAAATAATAATGTTGATGTAGTAGACTTCTTTTTCTTAGTAGATATATGAGTTCCCACCGTATTTCTATGTTACGCTTTTCAAGTTTTGTGCATCGAGTTAAAAACCGGTGTAAGCCTATGAGACTTCTTTAAAGACTCTAGATCCTGTGAGAGTTTTGAGATTTCATCATCTGTCTTAGTAGAATTCGTCTCCATTTTAGCCATCTTAGTCTTTAATCTTGAGATAGTCTCATCCTTCTCTTGGTTAGACACTTCCGAAATGGTAATCATATGGTTCTTTGCATTTGAAAAGATCCTTGGAATCCTACCATTTGTGCCTTGCTTAAATCAGAACAATGTAGAGAAACAAATCATTAAACCCAATTGAAAACACCTCATCAACAAAACCAACTGATGCAATGTATTCCCAAGTAACTCAATGCATTCATTAGAGATTGAGTATAAGAGACAAATCAAATCAATCCTTCTCTCTGATCCGTAAAGAAATGTTCTCTTTTGCTATGCCTTCTTTATTATCACATGACGTCGTGTTTATTTTTCACTATCCATCTTTTTTTTCCTTTAACCCAACTATTAATACCCTGAGACACTTACTTTCCCTCGTATCACCAAATGTGATCTTTATTTTTTAGTTAATACTTTGTCGGTTGTCATATAGCTGATTTAAGAATTGGGGCTAGGAAGAAAAAATAACGATAATGATTCCATATCTAGTATGTAAAACCCAATTGAGTATGTTCTTTTGATAATAAAATTGAACTCCAATCTGAACCAAAAGACAAGCTATAGTGGTAGCAGCGAGCAATAACAAATCTCAAATGATTTCCCCTTGCTATATCATTTTAAGAATCTTTAGTGTCACGTGCGTTTCCATAAAAAAACATAGTTTCAAATTTCAATTACGTTTACCCAGTCCTCATACATTATCTTTAGCAACACGATCAAGATCAAAATCCATGTTACCAAACTCGACATGGTGCAAACAGCAAATCACCCACTGAACTATCACAAAAGAGAACATGAAAAACACTAACGTTGAAATCCCTAACTTCCCAAATGTGTCATAGGCCTGACGTTTCCCTCTATCATTTAGCAATTGGTATACCTCTCTCCCAACACTTGTGTAAGAGCTTATCTTTTCAATTTTCAAAACTCAAATCCAAAAATATTCACCAAAGAAAAAAGTCCATCACGATTCCAATATAAAACTTAATTATACAACGATCCTGCACAGTTCATTTCATGGACATGTCATGAGCACCTTATGTTAATTCTAAATCGAAGTTTGTTAAGCGAAATGTACTAAAATCATTGAATACAAACTGAAATGTACTAAAATCATTATTATACAATCGAGATTCCTAGTTTCATGACACCTAAATCTGGTCAAGAGACTGTTAAGTTCAAATAAAATCACTCTAGAAAAATGTCCAAATATTTTAAGTTTAAATCAACAAATGGTTTCTTTTGAGCTTTAAGATCTAACTTCTGTAATTTTATAACAGTGCAGCCACACAGTGGCTCCGCTTTGAGATTTGGTTGATGGTGGTTGTGATGTTGAGGATGATGGATCTCATCGTTATCTATTACACTCCGAGGTTCTTTGACGGATGGATTTAGTTTATTAGTTAGCCTCTTCCATGAGCGTCCAATCTCAAGAGAAAATTCTAGCGATCTGATTCATCTCACAGACCAATTCACGAACCCATCACCAAAACGCAGCTCTCATTGATGATTCCGGCGAAAACAACAAACTTCCGACATAAACGCAGCTGTCGTTGATGTCTCTGTAAACGTAGATCTCGTTGATGTTACGTGGCGTGATAAGAAGATGTTAAAAAAAAAAGAGTCGTCTTTTTAAGAGAAAAAAAAATGACATGGAACCGAGAAAAATTATTATTGGCTGAGGAATCTGAGTTGTATTAACGAAATGTTTTTATTGGACGACTTTTTTAATGAGGTGTCGACCTGAGAACATCCCAAAATGCTGAGGTGTCAGATCTGGAGAGATTCTTAATGTTATTATTGTATTGATTCTGTAATTCGGCATGAATGGCTTGAAGCCTTGAACAACAACTTTCTATGGACCTTCACAATGCAATATATAATTTGATTTTGACGAAAAATTAAAAAAGAAAATAATAATTGTATCCGAAACAAATATTTTTGTCTTAAAAGTTACTCCACAAATTTATTAGATTGGATTTTGTTTTTGTAATATTTAACTTGGGTTTACGAAAATAAATAGGTTACATTGACTCATGAAAAGGATAAAGGAACAATATACTCTTTTATAAAGCAAAAAGAGTTCCAAGTCATAGAAAAGCTAAAATCTCCATTAAACTTTTTTTGTTGAAGCATCTCCAATAAATCTTTCTCTGTAACAATTCGTTGTTTCATGGAATAAATCAAACATAATATAAGAAATTTAGAGAAACTATCTTGCAAATTAACACAACAAAGTTAGGAATATCAAATAGTCTAAAAGATACAACGCTCAACAACTCTAGCAATTTAATAATTTATTAATTGTCAACAAAGGTACACAATATATATTTGGAGATTTCCAATGTTTGGTACAAAATATCATAAACATTTTTAGATGAATCCAACTAACCCCTCGTTTATTTCTAGTACATTCTACGTTTCTTATTTTTAAATAAAGCTTTTGTAATAAAAGGTACTATATAAATTATATAATTGGCCTCGATAGATCGTACCTTCATTAAATTGAACAACAAACAAGAGCATGGGAACTACCCATGCGTGTTCCATTTGTTTGTTTCTAAGTTTTTGTGCGTTAAATATTTCATTATTTAAACGACACATATTGATATTTATGTTCAATCAAACGTTAGTTTTGTTATAAAGCACTGTTAAAGTTCTGTCTATTAGAATGTGATTGGCAAGGGTTCTAGAAATTTTCTACAGCTTTGAGTTTTTGACAATGTTGGGGATAAATCTTGTCGATTAGAACCAACCAATTACAATGAAATACGTGGGCTTTGGGCTATGAGGACGTCTACCAATAACTATTTTCCGAAAAAATTAACACAAATCGTCATTACGAAACGAAAGAATGCTCATGTATCTCGTTATTATGCGCGAAAACAATTGATGATCAAGGCAATTCGTGCTATACTCTAAATAAACACACATAAAACATCACTACACCAATTAATTGAGGACACTTTTTAATATGCTCTAATAACAATATGTTTTAAGAAGTTAGTCGCTGGATATAACAACATGGCTCTTCATCATGTCTCGCTAGCTAAAAAAATTCGTACCCGAATCTTGTTCTATGCCACATTACCACTGGCCTAAAATTAATTTTCTAGAATTTTCAACAAGCCTTTTTCACCATAGGAACTCTTCGAAAATCCATTCTTGTTATTATTTGGACAGTTTCATGTGGAACTTGAATTTACATTTGTGTTAATTAATCTGTATCTAGTATTGTTGAAGTAAATATTAACATATAGAAGTTTATGTTTTTAATTTGCAAGATTATATAATGACACACTTCTTTTTGTAGGTAATGATTCTTGATCAGTATGAGATTTGTCTTCGATATCTCATTAATTTCTTGTGTCATTTTATGCTTATGTTTTAACTGTGTATGCGCTTAAATTGGGATAAATATACTTTTCTACTGCATTTTCAGTTTTTATAATCATGCTATTAACTAACTAAAAATGCTGTAATAGGAATATTTTCTAATTGAATATATAATAATTCTGTATATTATACAATTCTGTGATAGTCTGGACATGAAGGTTCCCCTGTCGTCACTCACGCCCAATGCTTACAAGCAAACATTGAGTAGATACTAAGGGAACTTGATAAGGACCATCATGAACACACAACTTTGTGATGACATCAAATTTAAATAGGCCACTTGTTCAATCATAATTTCTAACCAAAAGATTAATAGTTTATATGTAGTGGATTTAAGGTTAGATCTAAACCGGGTATACAAATATTGTGGGTTTTATACGCATTCGGAACAACTTGATATAAGTTGTTAATATGAAATTTAAGAAATACTATTTTCTTAACATGTTTGTTATATATTCACTGTAGTGGTAGAACTTCAATTGAAAAGAAATTGTTAGGTTTTTATCAACCTTACACTATATCATCTTTTGCATGAGAGAAATCTCAAATCTGAGTCAAAAATATTCACCGCCGCCGTGCATGTGAGAAGAAAAGAGACATTTAATGAAAATGAACAAAGCCACATATAATAGTAGTATAGTACTAATAAATAACTAAACACCTATAATAAATATTTTCTTTTGTTAAGTAATAAATACACCATTCTAATATTAAGGGTTTTATTTTGTTTTTGTTATTATATAAAATACTTGTGTGTTGAGAGAGAGATACACGTTTGTTCCACCAAGACGAGTAACCAAGTTGGTACCAAATGGCTAATACGATATCTCCATCATAAATATATTTTTGACATGACAAATTATTGGAACTCGATATTTTATATCATATGATGGTAAATTGGTAATAGCTTTACGATACTTTTTATAACCAACTTGTTACAATTAATCATGCTTATATTAAATGAACTTTGTATTTCTCAAGTCAGTAAATTTTTTTTTGAGAAATAGACAAATAGTACATATCTCGTTTGTTTATAAGAAATAACATTGTTTTCCATGACATAAGAATGAGATTTATCTCAAATTTCTAGTTAATCTAACGTTATCCAATAAATAAAAGGTAAAATCAAAATTTCCAACCAAATATGGATTATACATAAATCTGGATATATCATTTTATTAAACATTTTGCCAGTAAGAGTCTTCCCATTTCTCCACTTGCCGGATGAGATTCAGTTTCTTCCTATGGAACTTCTCAAGACCATTGGAATCAAAAGGAGGAGGAAGTGAACATGGGCTAGAAACATGAGGCCTACTAACTAAAGAGCCCATCATAAACCTTTTATTAACCCCATTAACATCTTCAGAAGGGCACACCATTGCTTCTGTGCATAGCTCAACACTATTCTTGGGAACTTGAGGCTTGTACTTGAGAAGCTTGGAGTATTCATTCAACAAATGGAACATATAATCATAAACATTTTCCATTGATAGATCTCTTTGCATGAACTCACTTGCTTCTCTTCCTATCTCTTGAGCCTGCAAACATATAAATTCATGAAATCGTATGCACAATTACATATGTGTAAATCTTCACACAAAATATGTGTAAGAGAAGGATTTCATGGATTTATATAAAATATATATAGGTTTTAAAGAAATCAGAGAATCCCTTAATTATATACACCCTTAATATTTTTATACATACACTAAGGAATTCTCTGATTTCTTTAAAATCTATATATATTTTGGGAACTTGTTTGATGTGTTATATTGTATTATATATAGAAAGAGATGGAAAATGGTACCTTTTGAGTGTGATTATTAAGCCAATCAACAGCAAATTTGATGGATCTACATTTATCTTTATCCCTAATGGGCCAATAGTGTTGGAGAGGTTGAAGAGTTCTTGAGAAGAAATCATAGTAATAAGGTTTCACCATCAACGTGACAGAGTCACATGCTAATATGTATTTCTCACTCACTGACCACGCATACCCTTCTATATATATCTTGTACCTACACAACTTATTATATCCAATCAATAAAATAACCTCAAATCTAGACATTAGTACTATGACACAAGAAGATGAAGAAAATATAGACAATGGTACTGACTACTGACCTGTGAGTGCATTGATTTGCTACATTTGAATTCTCAAATCCTCTTTGTCCTTCTGATATCCAATCCTATTTGCATGCAAATACAAACCAAATATCAACTATTTTTATTTTCTACTCCCTCCGTTTCAGTTTAGTTGTCGTTTTAGGATGTAAATTTTGTTTCATAATAGTTGTCGTTTTAGGTTTTCAATGCAAATGTTTGGTGAAAATTCCAGTTTTATCCCCCACTGTTTTAATGTTTTGACCAATAAATTTTTTTATAAAATATATTAATAAAGGGTAAAACAGAAAATTTAATGTTTTTCTTAATTTGCGTGAAAAAACCTTAAACGACAACTAAAACGAAACGGAGGGAGTATATCGCATAGGAAGATAAGTTAAAAAAAAAAAAACAATTCAAATAAATCTGGTTATAGAAGCATACCTGAATAAAAATTCTAGCATTCCAATCATGTAGTGAGGATAAATTGCAAGTGAGAAGATCTTCTCTTGAAGGAGATGCAACAAAAGGGTTCCCTTTCCAATATGCATAAGCCTCTCTTTCCATAAATTTCTTCTTCTTCTTTCCTTCTTCCATTTCTTTCAACACTTCGCTCCATTCCTTAATGTTTATCTCCTGCCTTCACCCACCAAAATTAATCCATTTCATTTCAATTTTATTCAAAAATATATGAATTACTATTGATAGAAAACATGTCTATATTTAAATGAAACTACCAATATGGTTTTGGAACTACATACACTTCATGTTTTGCTGGAAAGATTGAATGATACAAGAACTGAAAAGAGACTTTAGTGAAACACTTAGTTAAAGCATAATAAGTAATAATTAAATTACAACCACATATTAGTGGCATTGAGTGGAGGGATAATATTGTTTTTGGACTTACCTTTTCGACACTTTAAATTACTATAATTAGTCACTAACTATACTCTATTAACACAAAAAGAATCTATTAATCAATCACGAAAGAATCTATTTGTGTATAAATGAAAAAAATGGACCCCGGTAACATTTCTCCGGCATGTGATCAAGTGGGGACAAGTGTACCTTAACAACCATACACGTTAACTTCAGACAAAAAAAAACAAAACCAAAAGGAGAAAAAAAGAGAAAGAGAGAAGAGATTATAATCTAGTACTTACCATCCCCAGAATGACCAATCGGGAAAGACAATATCCACCGTCCATCTATCACCGCAATACCTAAATAACGGAGGTGGTACATCTTCAGCCGTACGATTAGATCTATTATAACCGTCCGATCTAATGACTGGTCGATCATCGCAGTCAAACATGAGATCCACGTCAGGTAACTTCCCTGGATACTTTCTCAGCAGCTGAAGAATCCCCCATAGTGTGAACGCATCTCTAGTCTGTATAGACTTCTTGTAGTTTTCCACGAACACCTTGCCGTTTACAATAACTAACCTGAAATGCGCTGTTGTTTTCCCTCTTTCCACCATTTCTTTTGTTATCCCTGTTTCTCTCCATGGTTTTAGATCCTCGTGAATCCACTTGAAGTAATCAGGACAAGACCGGTTCGATTCGGTTTGGTTTTGATTATTATTTGGTTGAGGTGTTCTAGAGCATGAACCGGACCGGTTTTGATTCAAGAAACTTGTGCAATCTAACGAGATTCCGGTATTCTGCTGTGATTTCTTCTCTGGTACGCGTACCGGGACCGGTTTTATCGTCGGTTGATTATAAGGTTTTGTCTATAGTAAACAAAAAAAAGTTGTAATAATTTATTTTTCGTTGAACAATATATTAGGCAAAAGGCATTAATCATGTAATGAAGAAAAGAAGAATAATCACCTTGTTAAGCCATAGAGGTGTTCTTGAGCAAGAACCGGACCGGTTTTGATTCAAGAAACTTGTGCAATTAACCAATACTTCGGTTTTCTGCGGTGGTTCTAGCTCCGGTTTTGTAGCTACTAATGTCGGTCGATCAAATGCTTTCGTCGTCTTTGATAAACAAACAATAATTCATTTATATTAGTATGAATCAGGGGCGGATCTACAGCATCATAAGGTGGGGCACGTGCCCCATACTAATTATTAAGAGTTATTAATTGTTCATTACATGTATTAATTTCCTAGCTCAGTTGGCTTTGAGTGCCCCATGCTTCTCTTCAGGAATAGAGTTCGAATCTCCTCTTTTCAATTTTTTGGTTTGTTTTTTTTAACTATTTCTCATTTCTTTGCCACATCCCACATTCTTTTTTAGCATCTTCCTGCATTTTTATTCTTTTTTTTTAATTGATTCATTGCATTTTTTTATTCCTTTTAAATAAAACTAGGTTCTTTCAATTCCATTGTTATTTTTCTAATTTCAATTTACCTAACAAATTTTAAGACATGTTTGTCTACTGTAAAAAAAAAATTAATACCTACATTTTTATTATTATTTTCAGTAAAACTAGTAAATGAATGAAGATTATTAATTTTTTGTAGTTTATTTAATATTTAGAGTCTAAATTCGTGTAATATTGTTAATGTTAGATACGTAAATTTAAATTTACTTTAGTTAATATTAAAATGATGTTTAAAAAATATATCTAATATATAATTAACTATATTTAGAAACTAATAGATATAATATTTTCAAAAATTTTAATATTATCTATATATTATTTGTGCCCCAGGTAAACTATTTTTCTGGATCCGCCACTGGTATGAATTATATAGTTATATCATGATAACGTAATTATGTAGAGAAAAAAGCTTTATTAGTTACCTTGTTAAGCCATAGAGAGGAAGTGACGGCAATACCGGCGGCGATAAGGAAGAGAAGAAGCGTCAAAGTGGCCACGTGGAGTTTTCCGATCACCGGGCGGTAAGTTTTAAAGTCGGTGATTTGAGAAGTGAGAGCTCTAGGTTTAGAGAATAGAGAGGTCATTGTTATGATTTTTTCTTTGTTGGATTATTAAGGGAATTTTTTTGTGACATTTTTGTTGATATCTTGAAAGCAAGTTGTGGGTTTCTCTCACTCTCTTTTTTATTTTTGAACTTAAAAAGATTTAGGAGAAAAGAAAAAAAAAAAAAAAAAAAAGGGAAAAGAAAATGTGCCTCGTGGGTTTGAGAAAATGATGAGGACACGACATTGATGATAGTGGACTTGTTTTACTATAGGGAAAAAACCCGAAAAAACCGCCATCTATTTTTTTTTTGGCCGTTTAATACCTGTAGTTTTAAAATTGGAATAAAAATACCTCGATTAATTATTGTTGCCATTTAAATTCTTTATTTTTTAAATTTTGGTAGATTCGTACCTCCGAGTTAACGGATGTTAACGGTGGTAACGGAATTGCTAACTGCGGTTAAAACTTAATCCACGTATTTTAAATAGATATATACATTCTGTTTTAAAAATTTGCTAATCTATTAACATGGTCAGATGGTAAAGGATGTGTGTCTTTACCTGCGAGACCTGGGTTCGATACACATGAAACCCCTTTTTTCTTTTTTTTTTTCTTGTTTTTTTTGATGATTCTTGAGGATTCCGGAAAGCCAAAAGCCCCTCTATGCCAAGCTTTCACATCGATTCTCCCTATCCTCAAAAATATTGATTCAGCAACATTATCAACCTTAATCATATAATTAATGGGTAATGTTTCGCTCCTCCTGTAGCAAATTATGTGATGCATCAATCTGAAATCCGACCACCACCTTTTCAAAAGCGACAGCGAGACCACACCCAGTGGCGGAGCTATAGCATTAGGAGGGGGTCAAGTGACCCCCATAACTTTTTTAAATTCCCTTTATAAAGCTTAAATATTTGGTATTTAGATTTATAATTTGGTTTGAAATATTAAATTGACCCCCTTACTCCACGTTCACATTCTATATTTGCACCCTTTGTTAATTTTGTTTCTTCCATTTAAGCATATCTTTTAATTCTTTCCTTCTATCTTATATATCAATTTCCATTTTTCTTCTATTTCCTAGCCCTATTTTAAATAGTTTCCTTGGTAACTGTTTTCATTATTTCCCCTATTAATTGTTTAATATGTCTTTCCTCTAAACTTAACATGAATTTATCTATACGTGTAGATTAATAAATATTTTGAGTAACAAAAAAGATTTATAACATATATGGATGTTCTTGTATTTCACACAAAAAATTAAGAATATTAAGAATTTTTAAAGCAATGTATATTTTATCCAAAAACAACAATAATTTATGAAGTTTAAAACACTAACGATATTATTTTTGTGGTTCTCGTTTTTTAATGAAAAAAACTAATAGTAATACCTAAACATTTTTGAAAAAATCAAAGATAAAATTTTATTCCAAATAAATAATTAAATATTATAACATAATATTGACCCCCGTAAAAAATATTTCTGGCTCCGCCACTGACCACACCTAGCTATAATCGGAGGCGACGGTGGCCGTGGTCGATGAGTACGACATTGGGACGGTGGTCGGCGGTGCTAGGGCGAAGGAGAGAAAGAGGAAGAAATTAAATCTGATGGTCGGCGGCGTTAGGGCGAAAGAGATAAAGAGGAAAAACAAAAAAAAAATGTAATATAGGGTATCGAACCCAGGGGTGTTGTGAAAAACAAAAACGTTTTAACCACCAGACCACACACCACTATATGCAATAACAGTTATACTCAAATTTATATATCTATTTAAATACGTGGGTTAAGTTTTAACCACAGTTAGCAATTCCGTTACCACCGTTAACAGCCGTTAACGCGGAGGTACGAATCTACCAAAATTTAAAAAACAAAGAATTTAAATGACAACAATAACTAATCGAGGTATTTTTATTCCAATTTTAAAACTACAGGTATTAAACGGCCAAAAAAAAAATAGATGACAGTTTTTTCGGGTTTTTTCCCTTTTACTATATACTTCGAAATTTGGAAATTTAAACTAGTCAACTTTATCACTCGATCGTGTAAATTACGTTATTTACATAGATACGTATATAATATTATATGATAATCATATACTTCAATTTTAAGCGTGACCAATATATGTAGATAAAAGAGATTTTAATGGAGCTCAAGAAATGTATTTTCATGTACTAATTACAGGTTACTAAAAGAAGAAGATGAAAAAATCTCTATAAGTTGTTCTTGTTCTTGTGGTCTTGCCTTGCGCATTCACAGAGAAGGAAAAAGTAACTTCTTTTTGTCTGATAAAATTTGAATTTATATTACTAAAAATCGATACTTGATGGGTAGTAGTAACTACATAAGCTTTTAAGGCTAAGGAGCTTTGGTGAAAAAGTTTTTTTTTTATTAAAAAACCCACTCCTTTCAAATAAAGTACAGGAGAGGGGATTGACAAAGAGAATATGTAAACAACCTTAATTTTGTTATTTAATTTATTAGTTTAGATATATTTCTATAAAGTTATATATATATATATTAAAATTTTCATAAAAACTCAAAATACTGTATAACTCACATATTTAATTTCAATATTAAACTTTACTAACCAAAACTTTACTACCTCGTATACCATAGAATATATTTTTTTAATACGTGTGCAAGTTTAGTCACCAAAAGCAAAGATCCTTGGGTTACTGGATATACGAGGTCCATTAAGTAGAGAATCCATAAATCAACAATGAATCGCTTATAAGGCCCATTATCACTTTCAAGAGAGAAGAGCGTTGATTTTATGGGAAATTTGAGGCTTGATCGTAAGAAGCTTGCAAATATCTATTAATTAACACATTTTTGTTTTCGTTAATTAATTAACACATTCTCTGTTGTATACTTGTAACTTGTAAGATATGAACCAAGTCATGAGATGTGAAGTTTCAAAATTCAAACGTCAAACCCCCGAAGGCCTATTGAACGGAGGACCATATTTACATTATGGATTTATTTGGATCATCTAATCACCTTTGGATTAATCTCAGCCAAATATGGTCAAAGAAGTATCAAAACTCAAGTCCAATTTTTTTTTTTCATTTATCACTTGTTTCCTTATTTAGCTGATTATATTCTTTATATTATTGGTTTTTTAGGTTGTTTCACCAAATCTAATTAAGAACTCTATATTTTTTTTTTTTGCTAAGAATGTAAATATTTCATTAAAAATGAAAACAGTTTAGGAGCATAATCAAAAGACTATAAACCTATACAAATGGTCCCATGGCAAAAAAAGTAAAAACATGGAAGCATAGATCATCAAGCAAACTTCAGTCCATCCATTCAACAAAAGCTAAGAAGCTAATGGAACTAGATGAAGTGATAAACGATTTTGTTGTTCTTCTAGTTTATTTGGAGGAGATGAAGGGCGTTAGCACGTGAAGAAGCCGAATTACTTTGGACACTAAGCACTAGAAGCCTTTCACTGGAAACCCGAAAGTGAGCCGTCAACGGTTAAGTACTCAATGCCGTCGATCACATACGCCTCCAACGTCATGTGGGAGCGCACATCATACTTATCCATGAGCTTTCTCAAAATGGAACTTCACGAACCAAAAAATGTGAATGGTGCGAGCTCACTCTACCAAGTTCATTCCCCGAAGTCGGCTAGCACAGAGCTTGATAATGCAACTCAAAACCACACCAAACACCATTAGTCTTACTAGCTCCTCTAGTGCACCGATCAAGAGCAAATACGAGCGAGAACACAAAGCAACGCTAAGACTTCAACTCACAACAACTTCAAACAGCAAGACACAAACAAAAACAGGGCAAGGAGCAAAAACCTCAAGACAAGATAAACAAGTGGCAAAGACAAATGGAGAAAGCATAATAGCTACCACCGGCAGCCATACCCTCGCCAAATCAAGGCCACTGCAGCCACCGGAAATCAATCTTTGAACGGCCAAGACGAAGATTCACACATGACGACACTACAAAATCCACTCTCCTAAAAGATAAGATTTGTTGCTGCCTTCAAACAGATTTGGCCAACAGAGAAGCGAAAATTTGATCGTCATGCCTTAACGGCTTGGAGCTGAGCCCAAAAAAACAACCGATGAGCATCGCAAAGAACCCTATTTGATGGGATGGAGCAAGAGTAGCTGAGGCTACAATGATCTGAAGAAACGAATGACAACATCTGCCACACGACAGAGCTGCTTCATCAGAGCCACCGTAAAACCACTCAACGCCACAATCACCATTAGACGAAATTGAATTGCTTGGAGAAGACAGAGGCAACGACAACGGGATCTACGGCCGTCCTCTAGCGCAAGAGACCGTCAGAAGCTGCCCAACCACCGTGATAACAATTCAATACGCGGCGGTTCTTCCTCATCAAAGACTCGGAAGTACGAAATCAAAGAGGCGGAGAGGCCAAACCACAGCAGCCGCAACACTGCCTTGCGTAGCTTACCAAACCAACCGCTAGACTCGCGAGGGTGGAAGAAGCGACCCACAAAGTAGATCGGATTCTGTCGGTCGAGCTGCGAGACGCGAGGGTAGGGAAGCATAACTCCGGCGTTGACTCTCACCGACGACAGGCGAAAGAACCACAATGGAGGAGCACCGAACCACCAAAACAGGCCGTCGCGCACGACAGAAGATACCACCCACTCGCCACGAGATTCAGAACGAGATCTCGACAAGAACGAAGAAGCCCAAGCGCCGGAAACTTGCAGAAATTAAAGAAGGGAGGAGGCCGAAGCCGGTGCTGGAGAAGCCACCGCGCTCCGGCCTCAAAACGGGAAAGAAAAATTTATAAAAGAAGATCTATATAATGAGTCTCTGGTGCAATGCAACTCATATACTCCCTCCGTTTCATAATATAAGTCGTTTTAGGTTAAAACACGTTTATTAAGAAGATCTACTTTTTAAAAGTTCAACCAATCATAAAAGAGACTGCATAATATAAATAATCATAAAATATTAAAATAATATATAATTTGCATCGAAACTCGAAAACGACTTATATTATGAAACGAATTTTTTTATATAAAACGCCTTATATTATGAAAC